CTTATCTCTTATTATATAGTTTTATTTATTTATTTTTATCCACTGAAATCTTTTTTTGGTTCTTAATTCAACTCTGGTGGTCTGGTGTCTGGTGAATTTTTTTTTTTTTTATGCATGTATGTATTTATTTATTTACTTGCTTACTTGTTTATAAATATTTGCCAAATCTTTAAAAATAACTAAACCTACACAAAATGTCTCATAACCAGAATTTGTTTCCCCCAAAGTCATCAGCAGGGGCGGATTAAGGTGGTCAGGGGCCCCTAGGCTGCTCTTTGTGTGAGGCCCCCCTTAATCATCTTAATTATTATGCTTTACTGGAGAAATGTATTTAATGCCATACATGGTCCACACACAAACAGTAAGGTGAACTTACACACACACACATTGAGACAGCCAATCTACAGTGTTTCCTCTACATCCTCAGTGTCCCACAGGTCCAATGCCATACATGGTCCACACACAAACTGTAAGGTGAACTTACACACACACACACACACACACACATTGAGACAGCCAATCTACAGTTTTTTTTTTCATTTAGTTCATTTTAAATTTTAAATGCATAAATCCGGTGCATTTTGAGAGCAGAATCATGTGACTAGATCAATGAACAAATATGTGCTCTTGTAAACAATTCCGGGCTCTAGTAGTAATTTATTTATTGTTTGCATAGATGTGAATGTGATGGTAGGGCATAATTTCACTATATAAATTCTTATAAAAGCTACAAATGCTATTCTGTCAAGAGCAGGGAGTGATTTTCTCCTCGTCTTTTGTTGTTTGATTATCATTAACGCCAACACTTATCTCAAGAGAGACAAGATTTTTGCACATTTTTAAAAAGAAATTCCAATGATCAAATACATGACTGGAAAAATAGTCTGCAGGTGCATTTTGAATTGTTTTAACTAATCATCTTGTAATAAATGTAATTTCAGTTCTACTTTGAGTATGATTTATCATATGCCGTAAAAGACAACAACACTCAAGCACTGTAAAAGGTTTTGCCACAAATTCAACTAGCTGGCTTCTCTCCTTCTCTCTCTCTTCAGAGCTTAGAACTGTACATGAATTATGAGCTTCTCTAGAACGTCTGACCTCCTAACTGAAATAGTTTTTCACAAATTAAACATACAAATAAAAACAGTATATATAACAAATAATAAACAACACCGTTCTTTCTTAGTCTTATTAAGTGCAAACAATATGTGCAGCCATAATCAAAGTAGGCTACTCTCAATTTTCAAAGTGCAAATAGAGACCAAATTTTTCAAGCATGATGCAGAACTATAGACAACACAACCTATTATAGCCTACATACTAATAACAGCCTATATATGTTATGTAGCCTAATTCGCGTGCATCGGGGAGTCGCTCTCAAAACGTGGGGTATTGAAATCGCTTTTGAATATGTGTGCACGTTTTACTTTCGGTTTCGATTTAACGATCGCGCGAACTCTCGCCGATGCTAAGAGTGCATTCTACAACACAATACATTAATTTAGTCAGACGCTCTGCATTCCTCCTGATTCCTCCTCTAATGTTTCTTATGGGCCAATGAGCGTCTTTTTTTCTTTGCACTGAAGTAAATTTAAAATAATGAAAAAAAACAGTCTGACCAATCCGAGGCCCCTGCACACGTTGGGCCCCCTAGGCTGCAACCTAGGTAAGCCTGTGCGTTAATCCGCACCTGGTCATCAGAACCGCTCGGAGAAACGTTAATACACTATATACCCGGGCTACACTTACACGATGCGTAAATATCCTGCAGGTCTTTAGTGGCCAGAAAATAAAATTAGCATACAGCTGACATGCTTGCTTTAGACGCC